ATTTTATTCGGTTGGAAATATAAAAAAAGTAGGAATGGAAGTTATAAGAAAAATTATTTTAAAAAATTAAATATAAGTATGTTCTGGATAGATTAAGAAAAAAAATAGATAAATTAATTACGTTGGTTGCTGTTCAGGTTACGATTACCGATTCAGGTAACCCCTCAACTGTACTTGTTTCTCTGTGCATTTATATATATATATATATATTATATATAAAGTTTAAATTAAATATAAAATTTTGCTAATAAACAACTTCATGTTAAATAGGAAACTTAATATGAATTACAAAAATGCTTCAAGGCTCGAATGTGTTGGCTCGAATGGCCTGAAAGCGTGGGCTCACGCGCCATAACACCCCTAACTCGCTCTCTCTCCTTTCTCAGCGTTATACCCAACTCTCTCTCTATTGCTCTGTTCCTCATCGTTCTTCCGAATCATCTCCTCTTCCAGTTCATTACCTCTTCTCTCTCTCTCTCTCTCTATTGCTTTGTTTCTCATCGTTCTTCTGAATTATCTCGTCTTCCGGTCCATTTCCGAATCATTCGAGCCTATCACCTCCTCTCTCCTCCCAAATGACGCTAAAAAGTTGTACTGTAGAAAGTACTGTCAGCGTGCTCGATGGAGATTCCAAACACTCCTCTCAGAAGTTCACCCTCACACCTGAATCTCAAGTAAACTCTAGATGACAAAACTAGGGTTAGGGTTTTGTATTTTACCCCAATAATTTCAGTTAACCTATGTATCACAAAACTAGGTTTGATCACAATTTCAATTAATTTTTTCCCAATTTTTTGCAACTGCCGAATTGTGTGATCTACTGTTTGTGGATTGTAATTGTTCTGGAATCAGACCCTATGTTAAACATCTTCCATTGTTGGCTCTTGCATTCCAATTGTTTGATGAAAGTTCACATAGAAAAAATATGGCTGATTTTATATGCTGAATTCAAATGTGATGTGTGGAATTTTTTTTTTTTTTTTGGTTATACTAGAATCAGACTCTTTGTGCCAATATATTTGTATTTACAAGGCTTCTGCCTGTGTTCTAGTTTGCAAAAGAAAATTCAAATTTCTGTTCTTTCAACTAATAATTTTGTTAATAAATAGTTATTTATTCCACTCATCTATCTGCATTTTTATAAATGTCAATGGCAAGTAGTTATGAAAACATGTTTGCAATTATAGTGTCATGAGACAGTGAAAGCTCCTAAAATTTGTATGTTCTTTGGCTTATGCTTCAAGAAAATATTTGATTTCAATGCATCTTTTTATTCACCAGTCCTTGAATTAGTTGCCCATTGCATGTGTTATTAGATGAATTTGATATGCAGGATATGTAGAAAATGTTTGTTCTTTGCCTTATGCTTGAAGAAAATGTATGTTCCATGTGTAGAAAATGTTCTTTGTATGTTCTTGAATTAGATAAATTTGTATGTTCTTTGCCTTATGCTTGAAGAAAATGTTTGATTTGCTACCTTGATATGCAGGATTCAACAAATTGTGGAATTTGATGAATTTCACTTTATGATTTACTCCATGTGTAGTTTATCCTTTAATATATGGAAATAAGCTCACAAACCCTTATGGTTTGTGAGTGCTAAACATAGAATTTGAATTTTGAATGTATAAGACACTTGTCCGGTGAATATCATAGAGCATTGAAGACATGAAATATGGAAACATGGTTTGAAGATGCATCTGTCTTTAATATTCGAATATTTTGAATTTTGTTTACGTAAATTAAAAATGGCTTCTTCTTCTACTAACAACAGCAACATTAGGTTAAAACCAAGAATGTGTGATTGTAGGAAAACAGCTGCAATATATATTGTACGAACCAATGAGAATGGAAATCAAGGACGTCTCTTTTTTATTTGCCCATCCAAATATGTAAGTATGTGTTATGAAATTAAACTTGTATTCTTTCGGAAATTATTTGTGTAAATTAAATAATTGATTGTCATGCATTGTAGAGTAACAAAAAACACTGCAATTACTTCAAGTTTGCGGACGATGATGATGGAGACATTACCTCGACAATCCATTTTAATAATGGACCTCGTAAAGGTATCCGAACAGAAGAATTTAATGATGTTAGGGCAAGACTTTCTGAGATGGAAAATAAAATACATGACCATGGTAGAAGACTTCAAAGAATGGACAACAATTTCAAGGCTATGATTTATGTGATTGTAGTCTATATCGTTTTGTACTTTATTATGTAAGAATTTCAATGCTTGACTGTTAGTTTTTGGGAAATTTGATGAATGTAATTATGGATGTGATGGACATGTTGAATGTTAGGAGTTTAATTGAATGTGATGTTGTAATTCAATTATGGATGTAATCGTGGACATGTTGAATGTTAGGAGTTTAATTGAATGTGATGTTGTAATTTAATTATGGATGCAATGTACTGTTTGAATTAACTCATTTAGGGATGTATTGTGGTGTTTGAATTAAGTCATTTAAGAGACTCCAAATCTATTTTGTTCAAAAGTTTGACAAATTTTGAATTACTAAAACAGGCAGCACTACTGCGTGGATACAGGAACAGCAGAATGAGACATTCTATATCATAGCCACAACTAAGATACCAGGCAGCATGAGACACGACCACAACTAAGACCCCAGAATAGCATCAACCATTCTATATCACAGCATAAACCACACCAGCAGAACAACCAGAGCAACATCAATATAAATCATAGCAAGCTCAAGCTAAATCAAACTATGGAAACTGTAATTCATTCACCATGGGGAGGTTGAACAAATTCAGCAAACTATGGAAAAAAAAATTAGCAAAAACACAATGGCAAATAAACAACCTAACTGTGAGGGCTCACAAACATCATTCAGCATCTTAGCAGAAGTAAAAGCTGAATTTTATAGTTAGTCATCAATCTGTCCCATTCAACATAATTTCACATCATTCATAGTTAACCATCAATCTGCCCCATTTAACATCATTCAACATCATTGATAGTTAATCATCAATCTACCCCATTTAATTTTATAGTTAAACATCATTCAATATCATTCAACATCATTAATAGTATTCTACAAGCAAACTCATCTCAGGAGTATTCCACACAAAAAAAGAGACTAAAAGTACAAACACACAAAAAAAAAAAAAAAAAAAAAAAAAAGTACCAATGCAAAAAATACAAAGTACCAATGCAAAACTAAAAAAAAAAAAGGGACATTTGGATCCGTATCTACATTCAAGTTAACAAAATTTGAAGCGATTGTCGAACTTTGACTGTTGATGTCGTTCACCATTCCTGATTGAGTATAAGATGTGCCTCTAATATTGTCCACCGTTTGCATTGGACTAAATCGTGCCTATTCAATAAACAAGTACACTTTACAAATATTGTCCAGAACATATATATAAATTTAAACAAGAACAAATATTTTACTTCAGACATTAAACACATACCGATACATATATACTCTGTTGCGTGCCATCCATGCAAGGAAAATAGTAAGGGTAGTTTGCGTCGCCTTATGATCATAGTAACACAATTTCATTATACATTTCAGACATTAAAATAAAAAACAACTAACAACATAAAAATTCAAATACATACCGAGTTATGATAAGTATTGTATTGCATATCATCCGAAGAAGGAAAATTTAACTTACAAGGCTAACATTGAGGAACCGTACGTCTCTATAGTAAGACACAGACACATTGGTGAATAATTTATCTTCAAAACATTCAGTAAATTCTATATGACACGGAAGAAAAGGACTTACCTGTGCTTTCGGAGGCCTTTTACTCTTTCCCTTCAACCAATTCATTATTTCATCTACTTTGCTAACCTTCTGTTTCGTACATGGATGACCTCTTCAGCAAGCAACCACATGACTAAGCATCTTGCGAAACATGCTTGCTTCTATAGTACTACGAGCAGACAGACTTTTCAGTGAACTATGAGAAGGTGGTGCATTACTAGTAGAAGGTTGTACGTTACTAGTAGAAGGTGGCACATGACTCGCACTATCCGATTGATCTTTTCTCACTGTATTCTTTATTTCTATCAACCCAAGATTAAGCACTTCGTGTTTACCATTATCATTGGTAACAATTTCTAGGATTTCATCCAACATTTTGTGGTATTTATCATGCCACTTTGCATTAACAACAGCCTCAGCTTTAGTGTATGTGGTTGGAATGCATGTATAGTCTCTTTCAATATCTTTTCTCCATCTTGATACAATGTATTTATCTAGAACTTGATATATGCATCGCTCAAGTAGCATAATAATTGCATGGGCACACATAATGCCCCTAAACTCAAACCACCAACACATACATTGTGTTTCACATTCACTTGCATTAAAGTATATAACAAATTCTACTGTCTTCATTTTCTCACTGACAAGAACAGCCTTCTTGACATGATAAGTACAAATTGCTCCCTCATTTTTCACAAGATTCGCACGAAATACAATAGTCACTTCAATTCTACTTGCACTTCTTTAAATTTTGCATTCGTGTAGGCTGTACGAAATTGCTTCTCAAACTCATATATCGTTAGGCAATCATACAATTTGTTTCGAGATTTAAAGTCTGCTTTTATCTCTTTCTCCACCTTACTTCTCAAGACATTATCATATTGTTCAACAAATTGCTTTAAAGTTGTCTTTGAATTCACATATCCATCAAAAAATGCATTTATACTCTCACTTTGTTGTGTAGTTGACATGCCAGCCCAAAAAAGGTCCTTCACATAGGCAAGAATCCACTTATGTCGCTCACTGTATAATACCCCCAGCCACTCATTATCATCCAGATTGAACTTTGCAATCATCGCTTGCCATTCTTCAGCAAATTCATCTTATGTAAAAGAAGCATAAATTACATTTTGCAAAGTAAACTTTATCGATTCATATTGGGCATATCCTCTCAATTTCTTTAGAATTTTCTTCATTATATGCCATAAGCACCAACGATGTCGAGCTTGTGGAAAGACAACTTCAATGGCATTTTACATAGTTCTGCACTGGTCCGTTATTATAGCTTTTGGAGGAGGGTCAGACATGCAACTTAACCATTCTTTGAATAGCCACTCAAATGTTTCAGTATTCTCATTAGACAACAGCCCACAACCAAGAAAAATTGGCTGCCCATGGTGATTAACCCCTGCAAAAGAAACAAATGGCATATCATATTTGTTTGTGAGATAGGTTGTGTCAAATGAAACAACATCCCCAAATGCTTTATAAGTTGCCATATTCCTTGCATTCAACCAAAACAAGTTTCGCATGCGACCATCTTCATCGAGGTCCATTGCAGAATAGAAGTTCGAATTTTGTTGTTGCATCCTATGAAAATAAAGTGCAACTGATTCGGTATCTCCTACCCCAAGCCTCAATCTTCTCATACTCTCAATGTAATTCTTTGCATCTCGTTCATCAAATGTTAATGCCTCATGCCCCCTTGCTTCAACAACTATAGAATGAAAATTCCTAGACACCCCTATCCCTACTTCATCATTTATTTCTAGTCTTCTCTTCACAGGAGTAAGAATTCACTTATCCATTGCAAAATGTCGTAAGTCACTAGGAATCAAGTCATGTGTATGTTCAAGCACAACAGTGGTTAACTTAAATCTTCCATCCTTTTGTAGAGTCGCTCTAACCTTTGCTTTACATTCAATGAATGATGACAAAGATGGTTCGAGAGGGTGTACTTCTGATCATTTTGTTCTCTTGCGTACCCGAGTATATTCAATTCCAAAGTATTTTTCTTCCCATATTGTCTAATATTTTGTGTTCTATAAGCTACAACAAATCCGAGGTGTTTTGCATATTTTGCGTAAAACGAATATACTTCTTGCTTTGAGCTAAAACACATTCCCTTCTTAGGTTATTCAACTTCACCAATCTCATTTAATGATGGATTGTTCTCCTCTTCTTCGACTTTCTAAGTCTCATTCAATAAAGGATTGTTTGAATCAATGTCCATTGAAGCATGTAGCTTGAAACCAAAATTCAAACAACCTAACCAGTAACCACACAGGAAATAAAGTGTAAGTGCATTTAGTGAGATGATAATCTAATGCAAATCATATGCAACTTGGGTGATTTTTTATACACAACATTTCAATTTTCCTAAGGTTCTCCAACATAACATAAAATCAATAAGGTAAGGTAAGGTTCTTTTAATTTTTCTAACAGATCATAAAATCAGAAAAAAAAAACAAAAACAAAAAAACAAAAAAACAAAAAAACAAAAAAACAAAAAAAAAAACAAAACAAAACAATGCTTATTTTAGTGAAGGTTTGCCCATAAAATCATAACAGAACTGTGCTTATAAAATCATTGCTTACAACTCCACGTCATGAAGGTTTGCCCATCAGTTTCATCTCAGAAACAATGGTTGTCTTTTCTCTTCAATTCATAACATAAAATAAGGATAATTTCTCTATGGGCACTTTCATCAAACAATTGGCATACATGACTACAATGGAAGATGTTTAACTGGGCCTCATTCCAGAATAACCAAAAACAAAAACAAAAAATTACAAACATCACAGAATTGCCTCTCTCACAAATGCATCTTAGATCAACCAAAAAAAAAAAAAAACAGAACAATAAAGGGACATGGAGATAGAGTTCAGAAAACCTATTGAATCATTCTAATCAATAGAGTTCTATATATCAACAAATGTCAAAATCGTCTGCGACACAGTGATAAATAAAGGGAAACATCGACATAAATATAGAACTAACTTACCTAATATTTTACTTGAGGACGTCGGTGAACAGCAAGCCAGTGGTCGTCGAGGTCATCAATGAACACCCAAGCCGGGGGTTGTCTGGTTTCCCTCTCTCTCTCTTTCTCACTTATCTCCTATCTTTTATGTGTTTTATTTTTCATTTTCATTTGTTTGATATCCAAACCAGAACACGTGGGTTCCACATGCATCACATTTTCGGGGGAAAAACATCTTTTGAGCCATTCGAGCCACAGCCCATACGGGCTCCGTAGCGGAACTGTATAAATTAATAATAAAATATAAATAAGATAGACAAAAAAAATTTAAAAAATATATATATTTAATTTTAATATAAAAATTGAATACTTGAATAAAAGTGAAAAAAAGTAGAAGAAAATTAATTCGTAAAGTATTTTTTAGTATATATAATTATTTTAAATTATATTTATGGATAGTTTAGATTAAGTAGAAATCTTTTAAATATTAGATTTTAGAAATAATTGAGTATGAGGGCATGTTACGTGGCACTTAAAAAAAAAACAAAAAAAAACAAAAAAAAAAAAGACAAAAGAGAGATATGCCACATAGGAGAGAGAAAAATTTTGAGGATAAACACTACTTATATATATATATATATAATTAAATATAAATTAATATTAAAACATCAATGAGATAGGCAAAAAATAAAATTAAAAAAAAACATAAAAGAAAAAGAGTCCGTACAAATTGGTTATTATAATTGAAATTAAATTTATGTAGAATTTTATATGTAAATAGAAGAGGCATGTTGATGTGAATTTTTTAGAAAAACCTTTAGAATGTGCCACTCAAGTAACTCACTTTTTTCTTCTTTTCCAATGAGGGATATCCAGATATTTTTTTTAAAATATCATAATAATTCAATTATAATTATATATATGAAAAATAAATATTTCTCAAATAAAGTCTGTACGGGGAGCAAATATTCCGGCAAGCCCGTACTCCTTCCTTCCAAGCTCCTTTCTGTCCGATCGACCTGCGAGCACAACGGCGGTGAGCTACCCGGCGGTGTGTGGCCGGAAAAACCCTCCGACGATCAAGTTAGACACACACACAGGGGATAGATAGAGAGAAGGGAGAGTCGAGTGTAAGTATTTCTCTTACCAAGTTGTCATCTGTCCGCGTATGGGGGTGCAGACATGCTTATATACCTTATGCGCTAACCCAACTGCCTGCCCATTCTCCTGGGAGCTCGGCAGCCGGGCAGTACCATCTCAGCCATCGTCTTCCATGCTGCGCTTCATGCCCAAGTACTCCAACAGCTAAGCTCAGATGAGGACCGGACTCGGTGGTATCTCGGAAAAGCCGAGCTCGGGACAACTCACGCTAGTCTGCGATCGACCTACCTGCCGAGCAAACAGGTACCTTGGTCCAACCTTGCCTTTCCTGGCGACGAACTTTTCACCTGATCGGCTTCGCAACCACGGATCCTTGCAGCTCGGTCAATCAACGTGCTGCCTTAACCGAGCAGCTTCCATCAAGGCCGGGCCACACAACTTGGCCCAACACCTGTTCGGCCCAAATCTGTCTGGCACAACACTGTCCGACCCAAATCTGTCCGGCCCAAATCTGTCCAGCCATTACCACGGCCCAATCCAGATCATAAGTCTCCCTCTCAATTGCCCCTTAATTCAGTCCGCACAAGCGTGACTAGGATTACCTATCTGACCGGGGTAACTCTTTCTCAGTTCTTAGTCTGCAAGACGGTGACCGCACTGAGAAAGCGAACAAGGTCCGCTCCACGACTTCCTTCTTGGCGAGCAAGATCAGCTCGGCCAAAGAACTCCAAAGAAGGCGAGCAAGGTCCGCTTCGCGACTTCCATCTTGGCGAGCAACATCAGCTCGGCAAGGAACTTCCAAGGTCGGCGAGCAAGGTCCGCTCCGTGACTTCCTTCTTGGCGAGCAATATCAGCTCGGTCAAGGAACTTCCAAGGTCGGCGAGCAAGGTCCGCTTCGCGACTTGCTTCTTGGCGAGCAATATCAGCTCGGCAAGGAACTCCAAGGAAGACGAGCAAGGTCCGCTCCGCGACTTCCTTCGTGGTGAGCAACATCAGCTCGGTCAAGGAACTTCCAAGGTCGGCGAGCGAGGTCCGCTCCGCGACTTGCTTCTTGGCGAGCAACATCAGCTCGGCCAAGGAACTCCAAGGAAGGTGAGCAAGGTCCGCTCCGCGACTTCCTTCTTGGCGAACAAGATCAGCTCGGCCAAGGAACTCCAAAGAAGGCGAGCAAGGTCCGCTCCGCCACTTCTTTTTTGGCGAGCAACATCAACTCGGCAAGGAACTCCAAGGAAGGCGAGTAAGGTCCGCTCCGCGACTTCCATCTTGGCGAGCAACATCAGCTCAGCAAGGAACTTCCAAGGTCGGCGAGCAAGGTCCGCTCCGCGACTTCCTTCTTGGCGAGCAACATTAGCTCGGTCAAGGAACTTCCAAGGTCGGCGAGCAAGGTCCGCTCCGCGACTTGCTTCTTGGCGAACAACATCAGCTCGGCAAGGAACTCCAAGGAAGGCGAGCAAGGTCCGCTCCGCGACTTCCTTCTTGGCGAGCAATATCAGCTCGGCCAAGGAACTTCCAAGGTCGGCGAGCGAGGTCCGCTCCGCGACTTCCTTCTTGGCGAGCAACATCAGCTCGGCCAAGGAACTCCAAGGAAGGCGAGCAAGGTCCCCTCCGCGACTTCCTTCTTGGCGGACAAGATCAGCTCGGCCAAAGAACTCCAAAGAAGGCGAGCAAGGTCCACTCCGTCACTTCTTTCTTGGCGAGCAAGATCAGCTCGGCCAAAGAACTCCAAAGAAGGCGAGCAAGGTCCGCTCCGCGACTTCCTTCTTGGCGAGCAACATCAGCTCGGTCAAGGAACTTCCAAGGTCGGCGAGCAAGGTCCGCTCCGCGACTTCCTTCTTGGCGAGCAAGATTAGCTCGGCCAAGGAACTCCAAAGAAGGCGAGCAAGGTCCGTTCCGCCACTTCTTTCTTGGCGAGCAACATCAACTCGGCAAGGAACTCCAAGGAAGGCGAGCAAGGTCCGCTCCGCGACCTCCATCTTGGCGAGCAACATCAGCTCGGCAAGGAACTTCCAAGGTCGGCGAGCAAGGTCTGCTCCGCGACTTCCTTCTTGGCGAGCAACATTAGCTCGGTCAAGGAACTTCCAAGGTCGGCGAGCAAGGTCCGCTCCGTGACTTGCTTCTTGGCGAGCAACATCAGTTCGGCAAGGAACTCCAAGGAAGGCGAGCAAGGTCCGCTCCGCGACTTCCTTCTTGGCGAGCAACATCAGCTCGGTCAAGGAACTTCCAAGGTCGGCGAGCGAGGTCCGCTCCGCGACTTCCTTCTTGGTGAGCAACATCAGCTTGGCCAAGGAACTCCAAGGAAGGCGAGCAAGGTCCGCTCCGCGACTTCCTTCTTGGCGGACAAGATCAGCTAGGCCAAGGAACTCCAAAGAAGGCGAGCAAGGTCCGCTCCGCCACTTCTTTCTTGGCGAGCAAGATCAGCTCGGCCAAAGAACTCCAAAGAAGGCGAGCAAGGTCCGCTCCGCGACTTCCTTCTTGGCGAGCAACATCAACTCGGCAAGGAACTCCAAGGAAGGCGAGCAAGGTCCGCTCCGCAACTTCCATCTTGGCGAGCAACATCAGCTCGGCAAGGAACTTCCAAGGTCGGCGAGCAAGGTCCGCTCCGCGACTTCCTTCTTGGCGAGCAACATCAGCTCGGTCAAGGAACTTCCAAGGTCGGCGAGCATGGTCCGCTCCGCGACTTGCTTCTTGGCGAG